CTTCCCAACGTGACTTGCGTTAACTGAAAACCAGTGTCAGAGTGTGTGTGTGTGTTTGGGGCATTTTTCGAAAAGGAGATCGAGGGGAAGAGTGCTCAGCTCCGGCACCTCGGCGTGCACATTGGACGGTTCCACTGATGGAACAGAACGACACTCCGACCTGCACGGAAGTTGAAACACCCTGTGAAGTGAAGGATCATTGTGTAGGTTCTGGTCATCCCCGAAGCCCATGTTCATCATGTTTCATCCAGTGTCCACGGCTCTTTGTCAGCAAGCCGGAGATTCAGATTCTATCACTTAAACGGTTGTAAACTGTTGACTGCATTGTTCGAAACCAGGAAAAGAGCTGTTCGACGATTGAAGGTTTCAGACGTTTGATGCCGAAGCAAACACTCATATCAGGGCAACATATAAATGTAAAGCTTTTGCATAAGGGAGTGACATGGAGTGACACTTGATTTGTCCGCACCTGCCATAGGAGTACATGGTGCCGTCTAGTTCAACAGCAGCTTACCACATACTGTAGATGCTTTGACACCTGCCAGGAAGACATGATGATTTTCTCTTTGAACCTAGATTTGCTAAAGTTTATTTTAACTTTGAACCTAGATTTTCTTAAAATCTTAATTCTGCATCAAGTGGGCACTGTCTCAGCTCTTAATCAAGTTTGCCTTTTAAGTGGGGCCTGGGGAAGATGTACAAGCAAATGTCGCAAAACGGCAGTTGTCATGTTCGATTCGAGATGTGCTTGCTTACAGCTGACTGTCCATGAACGGTTGAGAAGAATGTCAGAGGTGAACCACAGACTCGAAGATCCCTTGAGGAACCCCAGCGGGTATTTGAAGAAGGCCGCTTTGCAAGAGGGCCTCGTCCCTCCATCTGTGGCTGCTCAGGCGTTCTGCAGACATTTGCAGTTGATGTTAGGGATAAGTCCTAGGGCTGGCCTCTCAGAGTCTCATGTCCACACAGAGGCCTCAAGAAACTTGTTGCATCAACATGTTGAGAGACACACAATTTGTTTCCTCACACTATCGCTAATTGTGACTGTATGACTGCACTGCATTGAAACACGGTTGAGCCGTTGAACCTGTTCTTATCCGAGCCTGAGAAACCAAAAGGGAAACACCTTGTCTCAGACAGCATGGTCTCCCAGCTGTTGAACAATGTTAGACAGGTGAAGCGTCAATGAGCCTGTGTGCTTGGAGATATGCCAACAGACTCAAGTGTTGAACCACACACGAACAGAAGGAATCGACTTGAGGAAGCATCATATGGTCAGAAACACGGTTCTTCCCGAGAATCTCCAGGCGCATGCCACTGCTGCACCAAATCAGGAGCACCGAGCACCAGCGAGGCTGCTCCCATTAGTGTCCGATCGTTGTGAAGATTTCATGACTAAAGACTGGTACTGGTATCATGAAGTATCACATTTTTGAAATTGTGACCATTTATTTACCGAATATCTTTAATTTTTGAACAACGTCACAAGGTTCACTCCCAGTAAGTTCAACATAGAATCTCAAATACCACTGGCATGAGCATAGAGCAGAGCAGCCTGACAAGCCTGAGTTATGAAACTGTTTGATGAAACTGACTAGCACTCAGGAGGAGCTGCATGTTGTTCTTGGATGTTTGACCCCACACTTCCCCAGCCCCCCACTCCGAAGAAGCTCTGCAGATGTGCATGTCGCTAACTAGTGATTTTATTTGATCAATCTGTGGAGGGATGAGACTCCGGCGTTTGGCAGGTCACATGCCACGCCGATTGCGGTGCCCTTGCAACAAAGCTTCCTTGTTGTGAAAGGTTCTTAACTGCCCATGGTCACTGTATACTACAGATACTACAGCATCTCACATGACCAGGGGTGGGAACTGGATGGAAATTCGGCCCGCAGCGCCAGGAGGACAAGGTTTGGCGGCGAGCCTCTTGGAGGGAAGATCCTCCTGGACGGCTGGAAGGGCCATTTTCGTCTATGCTTTGTATCGGGGAGAGCCAAAATATGGTACAGTGGATTCAGTGGATCTTTGGATGTTTTTGCATGTTTTTGCTCTTCCATGCGTTTCCCATCGTGCAAATAGCGGAGGATAAGAAACACCAGTCTTGAGCTAGCAAAGTAGTGAGGAGAGGAGTTGAGCTAGCCAAAGGCCGAGTTGGCCCAGTGGTGAGTTTGTTTCGTCTTCAGCTGGTGAGCTGGTTGGTGCTTGGCTATGAACATGTTGCAATTTGCCATGTAGCGGAGAGGCAGTAAAGTTGTGATTTGCTAATTGTTGAGCCGCCTTGCGTTTAGCTCTAATCTTCAGCTGGGCAATTGATTTCTCCGGTGCAACAAACACTGGTGACAGCAATTACACCTCCACGCCGGGTCATGAATCATGCACTGTCTATGTCACAAGATGTCACAAGCATGCTTTGCGGTATGCGGCATGCATAAATGAACTCTTTTTCCTGGTGAAGATGAACATTGATCCAACATCCTCCGACAACCTTCAGCTTTGTGAGAACCACAGGGTTCACTGTCACATCCCATCGGTGGCATCGATCTCCGACCCTGATTTGATTGCATACCCAAGCTCCGCTACGTCCGGTTCGCCTTTTCCGAGCTGCGGACCCGAACACTTCCATCCGGCCCTGACTGCTTCAGCAGTCGCCCATCAGACTCCTCCGCTTCGCGGCGAAGACGTCTTTCCTAGGCCAGCTGGTTAAACAACAACGTCTTTCCTGATCGGCCGATCGACGAGGAGGTCGGAAGAGATCTCAGACGCAACTTGGGCCACACTGGCCAAGAAGTGTGCAGATATAAAGATGCGGATAGGCATTGATGAACGAATGCAAGCAGATACTGGTGTGTTCAGCTCTCAAGCGATTCAATCAGATTCAGCATACTTCCATGTGTACAGGTGGTCCATAACGGTACCGGTACAGACAAAAACACGGTATAGATGTTCACAGCATTTGAGCTGATCATCGCAGGCAATTGCCGCCATGTCACGCAGGCAATTGCCGCCATGTCAAGCCTCAATGTGGCACGGGCCATGGAGCTCTTCAAAGAGGTCGAAGAGAAGGCAGCAAATTTGCGGAATCCTGGCAGGGCACCCCAGAGCATGGCAGGACTGGGGTTTGATCAAGCCAGTTCGTGAGGATGGCGTCTACTAACACGGCAGAGATGGAGAGAGAGAGAGAGAGGAAGAACACAAAAATCACAAAAGACATGATGACAGAACATATCAAAGTCGGAGGCTACTGGGTTGGATCAGTGATTTGTAGCCCCAGCTTTGAATTGAACACGCTTGCTACCTGGTGTTGGGCTGTGCGGTGACGGAGCTCACTTCGAATTCCTGGAGTGTGGAGAGACACTCAGTTCGGTATGTTAAAAGCGCCCCAAACCTCTCAGGGCGGAAGGGACCGGGACACCGCGTCGGCCCGACGCGAAGCGTGAGGAGGTGAGAGGGAACCGGGTTGAGTTGACACATGACTGACGTCTTGGGGAAAGAACACGGAGCCCCCAAAAAAACTCTTTTCAGCAAAGAACCAAGGGGATTCTGGAAGGTGGTTGCCTCCAACTTATGACCATGGTTCAACTGTCAATCTGATGAAAACAAGCGAACCAAGCGCTCTAGACGGTTTACCGAGTTTGAGACGCAGATAGACGCAGGGCTTTTCAGGGCCCTGTCGCCTGTTCTTTAGCACATGGTCTTTATAATATATACTATATTATATTAAAATATATATAGGTACCTTACCCTTTCTCACCGCCCTCAGCGAAAGCACCCAACTGAAGGTGGCTATTTGAAAGTTGCTGTTTCCAGAGAAGGGACACCAACTACAACTACGACCACCAGGCGAATGCGGCGCTCATGCGATGGCCCCGGGTATGTTCAATTCCTTGTGCAGCTTGGTCGACCGTCCATGAGTCCGTGGTGCTGAATTTGTTTCTGCGTCGCCGTACCTAGCGATCCAATGCCAATATTTAAACCTAACCACGGACCACGGACGTAAATTTATCATAGGATCGATTGGTCCACCCAAGCATCCCAAGGGCTGGCAATAGAAATAGGCTGGCACTGACATGAGAACCAGGTTGACATCAAAACGTGGGACGTGCCAACTGGTTCCCAGATCCCCGAAGAATCGTTGAAAGAAGTCTGAAAGCCTTGGTGTGCCTCACTTTGCATCCTGCAGGGCGTGGGTATGTTGCATGGTGGGGGATTTAGTGAACTACAGTGCCACGATTTTGTTGGTACTGATATGTAAGCTATGATAGCATATGTAATGACAATGATGACATGTTTTCCACAGCTTCCCTTGTTCCCTTCGAGTCACCTTCTGAACCATGCAACCGTCGCAAGTGAAACAGTAATTTTCACATGTTGCGGACGCTTGACTGTGGTAAGCCCGCAACCTTCACGTCAAGCTGAGAGGCGGCCCGCCCCCCCAAAGGTTTTGGTTCCCGCTTTGCAGAATCATCAGGAACCTTCCAGTATTGCTAGTGCGATGGGTGATCATGGGATTATCGTGCGGCCAGGATGCCTTTGCAGGCCACGGTTTTTCGAGAGGGGTTGAGAGATGGGTTGTTGTTATATGTTGTGATTTTAATGCTCAATGCTCACTGTGGTCACTTTCACGGAAGTCATCGCAACTAGATCAGGCCAATGAGTTTGCCTGTGAGTCTTTTGTCAAAGTATGTTTGGAACCCAAGTATGGGAAGTCTTGTAGGATTGTCTTTTTTCATCAATTCGGGCTGGTTCCCGAATTGATGAGATAAGTTGTGTTGGTTTTATTATGTGTTTATCATCAATGTCACAACAGAGCCGGGAGATGTTTTGCTATGATTAACCTGGTTGACCCACAGCACTTGGATGATCAGCGTATTGAAGGTGCCTTCTCTATCCTCACCATTTAGCCTAATTGCATTGCACGCAGACCACTATTTCCTATGCCACTGCCCCGTGTTCGATGTGTGAAGAGGGCTCGTTGGTTCTTTGGGAGGCCTCGTGGCCTCGTTGGCTCGAGATTTGGTTGCCTTTTCAGCGACCCCTCCTGTGCAGGGTGGCCATAGGCCTTTTGAATCGATGCATGTTTCATGTCAATCAACGTGAATTCCACCACCTCACGGTCCTCACGGCTTTGCGTGGCACTCGGTTCATCAGTATTCTTCTTGGAAGGAAGCAAGGTTTCTCCAAATCTTGTTCAGAAGGGCAACAAGCAAGCATGACCAGCCTGGCTCTAGCTCGCCACATCGCCGTGAGGCTGCTACGCTGGACAAGCTGCACAGGCGTTGATGGCATCATCCAGGAATCATTTGTCACACTGACCTTACCAACCTTGAGCATACTCTTGACTTTTTTCTCGGCCATTTTGGCACCGCTAGAACACCTGTTTGAGAGGGGTGGAATAGCTGAAGATGGAAGAGAATTTGTAGGGCAGAGTGAAGCAATCATGAGGCATTATCCAGGCCACGCGCACTAGCAGCTTGACCTCCCAGCATGGCACCTTGAGGGACGGCACTCAGCAGCGAGCGACAATTGTAGATGCTTTGCTTCCATCAAATTCATTTTAAAGTTTCCTGGGCACACTATCATTTTTGAGTGAGTGCATTTCTGAAAAGATATTAGACTAGAAACACTGAGAACCCGGTCCCAGTGCATCCCAAGTGTGTACAGCTGCCTTTTGGATCGCCATGTATGCACATACCGTGTGCACCGTGCGATGCGGGGACAACTCCTCGGTGTTGCTTGGCGCGGCTGGCGAAACTCCACGGCAAAGCTGGCCAAGGGCAAAGTCGCAGCCAGCAAGTGGCGCGAGACATATCGACAGCTCTTTCAAGAAACGGACAAGGACAGATGGACCATGGATAGAGGGGAAAAACAAGGGTGGATTACAACATGGATGCGCCAGACGGAGCAGCGGGAAAAAGGTCATAGTAGAGGATCCGTTACACGAACACCTCAACACGTTTGGAAGGTCTTGCTGCATGCTCACGGTCGCATAAGCTGTGATGTTGATGGTGACTCTTCACTGTCAGTCACTCCCTGTTCTATGTTTCTGGTATGAAACCACCTGCACGGCTAGATGGATCATAGGTCTCATCAAAGCTAATAAGTCATCATAGCTATGCTGACACTTCTGCGCCATGAGTGCCATGCCACCACACGGGTAGATTTTAGGGCCGATCATATCATTGTCCAGCACTTCCACACTGTACATGCTTTGATGTGATCCTTTTGTTGTTTTCATGTTTTGTTTTGATCCCTGTCGCATATTTGTTGAATTGTTGATGTTTTTTTTGGGGGGGGTATTCGTGAACCCATGAGGACCACAACGGCTTTTTGGACCTTCACGAGGTCCGAGACTTGCTGCGTGCCCGGCTGAAGGCGGGCGTCAACGACTCGGCCACCGAGGAATACATCGACCAATGCATTCGGTGCCTCAGCGCCACGGGCTGGAGAGGGCCGAGCTGTTTTGGTTGTGGGGTGCTGTGCTGGTTTTAGTTTTGGGGGCATTCAGAATGACAATGAATGACATGTTTGTAGGATATGCTGAGACCGTACTTGTTTGGTGCCGACCGGAAGACTGGCTGCAAGATCCATTCGTAGATTTGAATACGCAATACGAAGGGAAGTACGAAGGGACATGAAGGGACCCATCATGAAACGACTATTCCTGCTCAGGCAGGCGGATGTGAACTCCGATGGGAAGATCGACATTGACGAGTTTGTGCACCTCATGGTGCTCCACCTGCCGGATGCGCGCATCGCCGCCGATACGGAGTTCGTCACGGACCAAGCGCAGTGCCTACGGGAGTGGTCCCAAGAGAGGCGCCGTAACCGGCGCGGTAGAATGGCAGAACGATGCGAGAGTAGGATGTGACAGGATGTGCGTATACCTGGACCGTGAAAACTATGCAACATGCCGACCTTGATTGGTCTATATATATATACTTATATATATATATTGTAATATAATGTGTTTATAGATGAACTGGCAGAAACGTTGCACAGTTGGAAGATCCAGGTGTAGGCGTAGGTTCCTCATGTGTTGCCTCTTGAGGGATCTATTCAACTCACATCAGATCCAGGTCTCTTTTAAGGCTAGTGTACTAGGCGGCTAGGCAAAACACAAGTTTTCTTTTTCTGTGGTGATGATGCGTGGTGACTGGTTTTAAGTGACCCTTGGCTATTGCACAGATAAGTTGAAGGTTGATTGTAGGGATTGCCGCACTCCCTGAAGTTATGGAGGTACAAAAAAAACCTCTTTTTGTAGAGGAAAATGAGTGAACATCGTCATCCAAGGGGCCATCTTCCACTTCCATGATTATCTCAGGGAGTGGAAGTCCAGTTCGGACCCCGTGAGCCGTCGGACCCCGTCGGACCCGTCGGAGGGCTCACCGCTTGCTGCAGATCATTGTGACGACAACCTTAGACCGTTCAGCCGTACAACGGTGGGCATTGTGCTTGCTGACCACCCTTGGTGCTGGCATGCTTGAAGGCTTCTTGCTCGTTGACTTGAGCCATGAAAAGGCCTTGAACTTTGTGCTGCGCTACGCTGCGGAGCAGCTTTTACCTTCGGTGGTGTGGTGCACTCAGGATGCGTCCCTGGTGTGTGAAGCCATGGGCTTTTCACCGGAGGATCTCTTGAAGCGCCTTGAAGGGACTGCCAAGGCCTCGACCCTGCTAGCGGTCGGTCAATGCCATGCGGTCCGCAGCGTCTCCGCGGGCTTTGGCTTGTTGGGGCAGCTCTTTCAGTTTGCACAGATTACCAACAATACCTTTAAGCACTTCAAGGAGGGGCCAGCAAACTGTTTCTGAAACCTTTTGAAACATTGAATTGTGTGTCTTCAATTTACAGTTCTGTCATCGAGAGCGTGTGCGAGGTGGGCACACCTGTATTCACTATATTGTCTTTCTCACATATATATATATATATCTATATCTATACATAACGACTTCTTGTTGCTTCTATAGGTGGAAGGCTGCCGCCTTTTGGCATGCATTGCGCCTGTGTGAGGAGAAGGTCCGGGCAGGTCGCGATGTGCCTTTATCCTCCGGCGCGGAGGAGCGCGTTATCCGCCTTTGTGGTGACTTCTCCTATGCCACCTATGCCACTGTCTCTAAGAATGGTCGCTTCCATATCCTGCCTGTGCTGGATTCCTCGAACATGCCCATGTTGGCGGAGCGGGTCACCCACGGCTTCAAGTATCCACTCTTCTTGAGTGTGCCACCGAATCTTTGGGGCCAGCCTGCTGCTTGGCTTTGAACAGTTGCAGCTTGAGGCAGGCAGGTTCCCTGATTTTGATTGATTTTGATTACATGTACTCGTACCCGGTTCAAGTGCGGTCCCCAAACATGGAGTGAAGTTTTTTTTCTATCCGGAATCTTTTGGAGAAACTTGAATACTTAAATTTACACAATAATTGGCTAAGATGATTTGACAATATATCACGATTTGAGGGTGGATGTCAGAAGAATGCAACATGTTTTTCCAGATTTCTCCAACTGACCTTGACCCAAACCACCATTTTGATTCCGTCGGCGGCGTGTTTTCGTCGGCTTGTGGAAAAATATATATCCCTTTTCAATCCGACGAACCATTCCGAACCATTCCGAACCCATCGACCGATGGTCATCATCGACAGGTCCAAGCAATGTAGCCCACCTCTCTCAGGATGTGTGGCGACCACTGCTGGGCGCAGCCGTGCAGCCCAGCTGGCTGTTGAAGGGACTCACTGAGCAGATCCTTTGTATCGAAGTGGATGGCACCGCTAGACACGAGCCTGGGCCGCCGGTGGCTGCGGGTGGTCCCCGTCCACACTGCCATGGCTCTTCTTTGCATGCTGACTTTGGTAGAGGTGCCAAAGGGAATGACAACATAGAGGTTTGCTTTGTGTGGTTACATGTGATATAATACATGTCTTTTTGCTGTTATGCTGTTGTATGTTTGGTTGGCGGATGTTGAAGGGCCCGTGGGGCTGGCCCAGGGTTGTGTGCCCCCGCGCTGCTTGCTCAACATGCTAATGTGATTTTTGAAGGTCCTGGACAAAAGTTTAGACACGAGGAAAGGACAGGTCAAGAGGGACAGAGATGAAAGAAAGCACATGGACATGGCCACATGACACGTTTTGGACTTTGCAACCCTCTAAAGTGCCGCCATGTCGGATTGCCCGCACCACCACCCAGATTGCTCTTGCACACCAAGACCATCCAAAACCAAGTTTTTCAACTGTAACTTAAAACCGGATTTCTCAAAAACCATTCATAAAAGACATAATTTTACGGGTAAATTGCGGGTTTGGCACGGGATAAATGCAGGTTCTGAACATGAGAAACCCAGTTTTTCCACTGACAAACTGGTTTTCGTCGTCTTGTATGCCCCAAAAACTGGTTTCGGACAAAGGTCGTTATTTTTTCTAGGGTTTGGTTGCTCCTGGCATGCAGACCAACGAATGAAGATGACAAGCATATATATATATATATATGTATTATTACCTGATGATTCACAACAACGGCTGCATTGGGGTCATGCATGATATGACAAAGTGGTTGTTTCCCAAATTGTGAGACCCTTTGTGACCAGGTTTCTGTTGAGCAGCCCAAATTACTGCAAATACCGTGGTTTCTGAGTAGATGGCATTGGCACCCCAAGATGACTTTGAGATGGGGGTCCGTATAAACCACCTTTTGGGATGGTGCAACCTACTCTCCATCCACCGTACCTTCGTAGATGGTACAGTAACTTTGGGGAGCCAGACACTAAGGAGATTTTGCTCTTTGGCAAAGTGCGGAAAATCGGCATTGAGCAGGCCGGATTCTTCTCTGCGTTTGAACGCTGAGGCCGTGGTGAAGCTGTAGTGACTGCAGAGATACCATGTGGTTGCCAAATGGAATGGGAGAAATGCTGGTCCGAATCCATGCCATCTTTCGCAACATTCCCCCATTGAATGTCACATGGGACCCCATGCAGCACCCCATTCATGTTGGTGGAGCCCCCCACTCTCGAGTTGTCCCGTTAAAGCCAGTTAGGTCCATATCAGCCACACAGTTGTTCATTAAAAAAAAACACTTGCGGGGCCCCAAGTGCCTCCTCAGAAGGTATGACTGGACCCTCTAAACTCACCCCAAACACCTTCGAAACGAAGGTACTTGGAGCCCTAGGGAAAGTGCTGTCAGGGAATCAAGACATACCGGACATACCAAGCCGACAAGACTTCATGCGACTAAAAAGCAAAAGAGCCGCCGTGCCGAAATCGCAGATGCCTGCAAGAGGTGCGGGCAACTTCCAGAAAAACATGCAGACTGTAATTGAAATGTGTTTTTAACGCTCCGACTCCAAGTATGCAATATTTGGCTACATTTGGGGTGGTTCTTTTTCGCAGAGGTCAAGGTAGGAAAATATTCCACTCCCAAGCTGTCTTGTTTGGGAGGCCCAAGGTGTCTTGCTGCTGTTGAACGAGGTACCTGGAATCCAAAATAAACTCCATGCTTGACTACTTGCACACCGCTGAGCCAAAAGTGGAGGGGTTTGGAGACACCATCAGCTCAAGTCAATACTTGTTTGTAGGTCAGGGCTGGTGTCCCAACATGCTAAGAAGAACCGAAGCACCATGCATTGGTGATCCTCTAACTTCTTAGTGTTCGAATGTTTTTCAGTAGAACGTCGTGACAAGCTTGCTTGGGCTAATTTATAGTGATTCCTGTCCGGATGCGAAGATGCCAGCCACGTCGTAGACAAAACATCGATAGCAGTCCATCAAACCTACCTGAGTCTCCAAGCTTCCCAGCAAGGCACCAGTGAAGCTCACAGGTCGAGCCATGTGCGCAGGTTGAGCCATGGGCCAATCCGAGGGCCACACGGTCAATTCCAGGAGGTGATCAGTGATCACGTGTGATCTCGATCCTACAGTCGAACCTCAGAATAGATGGCACAAGTGATCCCCAAGGTCGGTGGTGTAGATAGACCCCCATAGTACAATATAGTACACCCCTCTACTCTTGAAACCACTGTGCATGATGCCCACTCAGGCAGATTCACTTCGAATCGGTCTCGGTCAGACCCTCGGTCGGATCTCCATTGCTCGCTCGGCAGGCGAGCAACGCCTTCCGCGGGATCTCCTTTGTTTGTTTGCGGAGCCTGCAGCAACAAGGGCTGGACACCTCCAAGGTGAAGCTGCTGCGAGTTTACCTGGGACACCTGCAGTTGTTTTTAGGCGAATGTCACACGTTTGTCTTCGAGGTCAGAAGAATGTTGTACATCCAAAACAGACCCGTTCTTAAGACCTCTTGGGTCTATAAGACGGGGAAGGAGGCGGGCAGATGATGCGACCAGAAAAACACCCGATTCTAATCGGAACTGGGCGCAGTTCCGTGGGGCCGTGCAGTGCATCCGGGATCGTCCAGCTCAACACTTTCATTTGCTGATCTATGGGAAACCTCTTGGATCCCATATGTTGCACCCTCCACAGCCAGTGATGGGCGTTCGGGCGGGGTCGCGCTCCGGCTCCTACAAGCAGTTGTGGTGATCCAGCATGACAACTATTGGTTTGTTGCACGGAGAAGCGGGCCTTTTGGAAATCCGTCAGCCACCCGAAAAACTCGAATCTTCTCCAAAACACACAGGAAAACATCATACTCTACTCATCTCTACTTTGTGGCATGATTGGCTTGGAACCCTCCCTGCAAGAAGCCTGGAGAGAACCATTCCCATGGGAGCTCAGGAGATAGCCATGAACTCTCAAGCACTGGAGCTGGAAAACGCCTCTCGGCAGACCACGCGTGTCTTGTTACGCTGACCCACGGCCCATGTATGGAAAGCCATGCGTTCCGGATGTTACTTGTTTAATATAAGAGCTTTTTTTGTTGATTGTATTTATCCGGCCATGGTTTTTCTTTCCTTCCGTTCTTTTTTCCCGAATGCGTAGCGAAGGGTTCTCGTTTAACTCTTGGGGGTCTGGGGGTGGAGTCTTGTTCGCGACCCGTTGCTTCTATGTTCGCAACCGTCCGCAACCGTTCGCAACCGTTCGCAACCGTCCGCAACCGTTCGCAACCGTCCGCAGTAGGACGCTAAGGCGCTGCCATTGGGGGAAGCTTTTGCAAGTGACTTTTCATGGATGTGTCCCGTGTCAGTTTGCGCCGCTATTCCATTGTGACTTGCATGAGAAAGACATGTCGCGCAAGCAACGTGATGCGTTTCGCTGCACAGGCGCAGCGTTTGGTGAGATCTGCAGATTGCTGCGCAGTTCCATTGGGATTAGCGTTTGGAGAGTCGTGTTTTTGGGGTGTTGGATGTGGCCGTGCCATTGGGATTTGCGTTTCAGGGCGTGGCATCGAAGCTCTGTTTTCGTGACCAGTCTCAGCTGAAATGCCGATTTTGGTGGATGGGAGTGTGCTCAGAACGGGTCGAAGTCATTCCAAACGTGTGGTGTGGTGCAAATTTTGTTGAAGCTCACATGAGATGACATTGTTACTTTTCGTGGCAGGCGCAGGACTTTGTGCGGGCTTTGAGGTGTGGAAGTGGGATTTTCGTGGCAGGCGCAGGGAATCGTGAGGTTGCGATGTGTGACGGAGGTGACATTTCGTGGCAGGCGCAGTACTTTGTGCGCGTTAGACATGTGGACGCGGAAAGATTCATGGCAGGCGCAGGGAATCGGGAGGTTGTGGGTTGTGGTAGAGGTGAATGTCGCTGTCACATTGGGATTGGCGTGTGAGCGGGTGTCGTTTGGAGGGGCTGGAATCGCGAAACTGCTTGGCAGGGCTGCGTGATGTGTGTGCTCCGATGGGTGTTAGACTTTGACATGTGAGTTTTTGAGGAAGTCTCGTACAAAACGCTCGTTTTGGGGACTTGACATGTGACTTTTGGAGGAAGTCTCGTACGAAA